ACATCTGTAAGTGTCTCAGCTCAGCAGACCAGCACTTGCTGCCCTCTGGTGGCATTTCTGTGCAGTACACTAAATGGTAAATAGTCTGTATTTGTATAGCGCTGTACTTAGTCCTTCAGTCCATTGTAGTTTTACCTGACTGAATACTGTGTTACTTTGTGTGATGTTGGTGTAAAGGCCCACAGCCCTTCAGGTTTCACGTTGCTCCTGTTAGCTGTAAATAACAAACATGGCCCCAATAAGACCAACGTGGTGCTAATCATAACAGAGCAGAGAACAAGCAAATAAACCAGCATGAAGCTGCCACCAGGAGGCACACCATGATTATGAGAACAAAAGAAAAGCAGCTCGGTGATGCGACCAGGAAAGATGCCCACAGCTCAGCATCAATGCAACACAAACATGATCCATTACAGGTCAAACGTCCTTTGGATAAATGTGCTGCACTGTACCTGTCACAGGTAAGCTCCACGTCAGCTGACCCTCACCTGCTTTAAACAAAACGTTTCTCCTCTTCTTTTGGTTTCCCTCAGACTCTGAACTTCCTGCCGTCACCGAACGAGAGAAGAAGAAGGATCTTCATATTGTATCTGTTGCTCAACCTTTGACCTCTGACCCCTCATTAACCAAGAGAAACCCTCCTCATCACTCCCCCCGCGCACCATGGTTACGCCGCCTCCGCTCATCATATACACTGTCGGTTTAACTCCATACTTGCATCTCATTGGCTGTTGTGGACCACAGGTTTCTTTTGGGCTCCGCCCCCTGACAGAGGGATACCTGAAGCCGCATAAATGCACGTGGCTTTGCTGACACACACACTTCCTGTATGTGTTGCTGATTTTTAACAACAAAATAAAAATGTTTTAACATTCTGAGCTTCGTCGTCTTCAGTCTCACGAAGCGTTGATTCATTCTTGTTGTTTTTATTCAGGATTTTATTTTGCTTTTATTTCCCTGCTGTGGAGCATCTTCATGTGTCCGCAGTTTTCCCGGGACGGTCTGAGGGGGAAAAATGTTTCAAAAATGAATTTTGATTTTCTAAATTTAAAACCAAACACAAACAAACAAAGTGTTTGTGTGTCATCACTAAAGCAAACGTCTCTGTCGCCCACAGACACTCAGCTCGTGTTTTCCGCCCGCAGACGAGCTGATGAAATGATTTTTCAGTTGGATCAATAAAGTTTTTACTTTGGGGCTCAGAGTAAACATGTGACTGACTTCCTGCTTCCTGTCAGCAAACACAATAAAACAACTCTGATTGTTATCCAGTAGAAGTGTCACGGCTGGAGCAGCAGTCGTGTGGTGGAATGAAAAGGACCCAAAATGCAGGCAACTGACTGATGAAGAGTGACGTTTATTTACAAGGTGGGATAGTGGCAAGCAGTGAGGCATGACAAATAACTGAAGAAACCTAAACTGGGAGAACTAAATAACAAACCTGAGAGCATACAAAAGGAGTGCAGAGACAGGAACGAAACACCATAGAACGCAGACCAACACCCACTAAATAGACACACAAGGTAATCGGGTAATCACACACAGGAGGGAAGAACAGCTGATCCGAATACACATGA